ATGTGAATGGCTGTTATGTGTTATGTGGTGTGTTTGTGTGTGTACTAGGTGGTGTGTGTGTGTGGTGTATGGTATGCGGTGTGTGTGGTATGTGATGTGTGTGTGTACTATGTGGTGTGTATGCTATGTGTTGTGTGTGGTATGCAGTGTGTGATATGTTGTGTGTATATACATGTTGTGTGAGGGGGTGTATGTGGTGTGTGGTAGGTGGTGTGTGTTTGTGTGTACTATGTGGTATGTGTATGTGGTGTGTGTTGTGTGTGTGTGGTATGTGTTGTGTGTGTGGGGTGTAGGTGTGAGGTGTGTGGTGTGTGTGTGGTATGTGGTGTGTGGTGTATGGTGTGTGTTACATATGTTGTGCTGTGTGGTGTATTTATGGGGTGTGTGTGTGTAGTATGTGTACTATGTGGTGTGTGTTGTGTGTGTGGTATGTGGTATGTTTGTGTACTATGTGGTGTGTGTGCTATGTGGTGTGTGGTGTGTGTTGCGTGTGTGTTATGTGGTGTGTTTGTGTGTTATGTGGTGTTTGTGTGGTGTGTGTGGTATGTGTGTGTGTACTATATGGTGTATGTGCTGTGTGGTGTGTGTTGTGTGTGTGGTGTGTGATGTATTTGTGTGCTATGTGGTGTTTGTGTGGTGTGTGTGGTATGTGTGTGGTGTGTGTACTATGTGGTGTATGTGCTGTGTGTGTGTGGTGTGTGGTATGTGATGTATTTGTGTGTTATGTGGTGTTTGTGTGATGTGTGTGGTGTGTGTGTACTATGTGGTGTATGTGCTGTGTGTTGTGTGTGTGGTATGTGGTGTGTGCTATGTGGTGTTTGTGTGGTGTGTGTGGTATGTGTGTGTATACTATGTGGTGTGCTGTGTTTTGTGTGTGGTGTGTATGCATGTGTGTTGTGCATGTGTGCATATGTGTGTGCTGTGTGTCGTATGTGTGCATCACTAGACACTAGTACTGATGTCCTCCAGGGTCCACCTGGTCCCCAATTCCAAAACCACCTGCCACTGGAAACCACTCCTTCCTTCATGAAACTGCCACTTGGTGGTTTCTGCCCCCACACCCAACTTACTTCCCCATTTCACGGACAGCCAGCGTCTCTCAGGTTCCAAACATGCCCCTTGCTGCCAGCTCCTCCCTGGGCCTGGCCACCCACAGGGACCCTCTGCAGCCTGAGCTCTGCCACCACACCTCTGTGTCCTTTGCGGGGGCCTCTTGCAGCCTCCGACCTGTTTCTCCTCCTCAGTCCTTCCTGTGTTTAACGTCAAAAGGTCAGTCAGGTCCCTCCTCCAGGTCCCTGTGGCCCCAAACACAGCAAAGACCTCCCCTCTGGGCGCTTGAGAGCCTCCCCAGGAAGACCTGGTGACGCTCCCGGGCCCGTGCCAGTATCGCTCCGAGGACTGCAGCTTCTGGGCTGAAGACTGGCACAGTCCAGGGGAACCTTCTGGAACAATGGAAATGCTCTCTATCTGCACTGCCCGACTGGGCAGCCTCCAGCCCCAGGTGGCTGTTGGGTGCTGAAGATGGAGCTGCTGTGACTGAGGCACTGAAGTTTTCATTTTATTAATTTTAATCAGTTTAGTGTTCAGGCCTGATCGTCATGATCTGTGCTAGTGGCTACCGTGTTAGGCGGTGCAGGTCCAGTGTCCTGGCTACTCGATGCAAGGCCTGTGCGCCAGCAGCACTGACGCTGCCCCAGCCTTGGAAGGGTGCACGTGACTCTGGGGCTCAAGGGAGGGAAGTTCCCCTGTGCCTTGTTAGAACGACCAAGGCCAGGGCCCCTCCAAGACCCGCTGAATCCGAACCTTCCCTTTAGCAAGATCCGGGTCATTGGAGTACACAGTACAGTTTGTGGCATGCTGAGATAAAAACCACTCTCCTCTCCACACCTCCCCCGCTTCCCTTTTCGAAACCAACCAACGCTTCAGAATCTGCTTCAAGCACCACCTCCTGCAGGAAGTCCTCCCAGATCACTCCAGCCAAAGGGGAACTTGCCATCCTCTAAGTGCCTGGAGTCATCTGTATCCTTCCAATCCCTGGAAACTTGGAGTCAGTGGCCTGCGGCTGAGCTCCTGCCTCCTCCAGTGTCCGGGAGGGCCTTGAAGAGAAGCCTGTCACAGACTTTCCATCCTCCCCCTCAGCCCCTCCAGAGCCTGGCACCAACAGGTGCTCAGGAACTGCCCTGGCACTTATGCTTACGAGAAGCCAACGTCTCTTTCCAAACCAGGCCAAGGAGAACAAAGTTGGTTGTGGGCTATTTGCGTTCCTGTTCCTCCCACACGGCTCACCCCACCGGTCTGACCCGCTGGCCGCCCTCTCTCTGAGAGCCCTGGCACCTGGGAGGTGACAGAACCCTGAGTCAAAGGCATCAAAATCAGATGAAAAGCCAGGCAGGTGGAGTTATGGGTTTCAATAGCCAAATAAAACTGCACATGCTTTTCATGACTCTCTCTGCAGGCTGGGATCAAGTGCCACGACTTTGTCACACAGCAGGTGTCCGTTCTCGAACTGCCAGCCAGCAGGCCACTGCGGGAACCCCCAAAGCCCCAGAGAAGCCCTGGTGACGGCGGGTCAAGGCCAGGTCCTTCCTCTCCCCGGGGCACGCCCTCTCCCACACGCAGACTTGGCAGCTTCTCATGTGCTGGGAGGTGCTGAGGACTTCCAACGCCAAGGCCCATGAAGACGGACACTGAGCAAGCGCCAAGGCCATCCAGAACTGCCCTCGCGCTGGAAGAGGCCCTCAGAACCAGCCTCTGTGCCCAGGACTCTGGCGGGCAACCTCTCCTCCTATCCGGCCAGTCAGCTAGCCCGACGGCTGCGTCTCTAAAAAGCCACTGCAGAAGTGGTCAGTTCAGCCTGGGAGCTCAGGGCCACAGTTCATGTCTCGGCTCTAACCCCGGAAGCCACCAGAAACCTCACTTTTCTCTGTCCTCCTCCAAGAGAGGCGGGAATTGAAACCCCCACCTCCGCCCCCTAGGGCTCAGGCAGGAAGTGGCCTCGCCTGCACACAGAGGTGGGCAGTCAGTCTCCAGGGCCTGTATTACAAATGGGCCCGTCCAGGCGGTGGGCAGTACAAGGCCCCCCAGAGAGACCAGCAAAACCCACACAGCCCTGAGGCGGTGCGAGGCTTTCCCCAAGGGGCACGGACCCCCGCGGCAGCGTGAGCTCTTCGGATCCCGAGAAGCAGGGAAAACACACATAACGCAAGACTCCAGCCATCCGCACGTGCCCCTGTGTGCTGGCACCGGGCCAGGGAGGCCTAGGAGCTCCTGCTCTGGAGCTTCTGTCCCAGCGGGACATACGGCGATGCTGAACGATGACACCAAGAGCAGGTCCGCCCTTCCCAACAGCACCAGCCTCGGGAAAACTACCCTCCATGTTTACCACCCAAGTAAACTGAGGCCCAGAGAGATTCAGTAACTTGCCCAGGGTCTCACAGGGAGTCAAGGCAGAGCAAGAATTCAAATCTGACCATTTGGCTCCTGGGCCCAGGAGCTCAGCTACTGAACAGTTACACCGGTAGGTCACGCTTGCTCACTAGCTACCCAAGCGCACAGCAGGGAGCGGCCACTCCTAACAGGAGGGAGCACTGGCCGTTCCCAGACCCTGGAGCTCAGCGCTCTGGGCAGCAGGAGCAGCCTCGACAGAGGTGTGGAGAACAGGGCGGGTCAGGCTATAGTGTTAGGCAAGGTGGGCCTTGGCGGGGAGGAAAGGATCCCAACAGAACCATCCTGGAAATGCGAACTCGCTATTTCAAGTATGTTCGAATTTGGGAGGAGTCTCTGTGGCATGCCACCCAGAAAGTGACCTCAGTGACACTAACCATGATCATACTCCAGAACCAAAGATTATCTGTGAAAGGGACCTTCATTTCTAGGGGTCCCCATCCTCCCCTAGGAGGCTCTATGAGGGGACCAGGGGCAGAGAAGCAGGAGCTTCCAGCTCCTTCTGCACCAACGTCACACTCATCAGCAGGTCCACAGTGGCAACAGGCCGCCGTGAGCCCAGGGGGACCCAGGGGCTCAAGAACCCTCTGACTTCCACTCCCATCTTGAACTGGTCCCAGCCCCAATCCTGGTCTGGCTTCAACTTTGCTAATGAGCTGTGACTTGCCAGCCCCACCTCTGGACCAAGAAACTAAGGGAGTGAACGGGGAAGGGTTTCCCAAGAGCCTCCGCCCCAGGTAATAAACCCGTATCTGGGTCACGAGGCTGGCTGCCTGCTCTGGCCACTGATCAACCCTGTGCTGAAGTTAACAATGAATATTCATGAGCCTATCCGGTTCCACACTTTCATTTCTGGCCCAAATTAATAATTTACCATGGAGTTTCATAAAAATCAGACATAGCTCATTAGTAGCTCCCCAAAAGGCACTCCCGTCTTCCCACTGATCTAGTGAGGGGCTGGTCTTGCCTCTGTGACAAGAAACAGCGCCTTCATTTTCAGAGACGACCCTCACTGTTATTTCAGGGGGCTGGTGAATCTGAAACTGGGGGCTGCCATGACGGCAGAGGCCAATCCAGGAGGCCTACCAGCCTCCCCCACGGGGCACCAAGGCCTCTGCCCACAAAGCTCCATGTCACATGTCTTCAGCAAACTTCAGAAGCAGACCGTGAAAGAAGGATGGAATCGCTTTCCTTCCTCAAGGCAAGGCTACCACTATCCGGAAACAGACCACAGAGGCCGCGGGTGAGTGGAGCACGTGCAGCTGATGACACCTTCCAGAGAGGCAACATCAACCACATCTCCCAAACCCATGCCCTTCCACAAGGGTGCCATTCCCCCATGAAGAGCTGGAGGCTAGGTCAGGCATACTGGCTCCTGTCTGTAATCCTAACACCACTGGGGGGCCGGGGCAGGAGGATCACCGGAGCCCAGGAATCGGAGATCAGCCTGGGCAACATAGCAAGACTCTGTCTCTACATCAAATTTAAAAATTAGCCAGGTGTGGGGGTACATATCTAAGATCTCAGCTACCTGGGAGGCTGAAGCAGAAGGTTCACTTGAGCTCAGGAGGTAGAGGCTGCAATGAGCTGTGACCGCACCACTGCACTCCAGCCTGAGCCACAGAACGAGATCCTGTCTCAACCAACCAAACAAAGAGATGAAGCCTAACTCCCCTCCAGCGGAATCTGGGCAGGCTTGTCCCTCACTTGCAACCAGTAGAATGCGGCGTGGCACGGCTTGCCTTTCGAGGCTAGACCCTGAAGGGCCCTGCAGCTTCCCCCTTGTGAGCTGGGACCCCTGCCTTTGGAGCTCGGAGGCCGCCACGTTGTGAGGAAGCTCATGCCACACTTAGGGGCCACGAGGAGGTGCCCTAAGGTGAGGGCCCCGGCTGTGGTCTGGCCAACAGCCCACGCCAACTGCCAGGCTGGAGTGAGAAGAGCCTTCGGACGACCCCAGGCTCCGCAGAGCCAGCCACCCGGTCTCCTAGTCTTCAGGTGCAGCTGGCCAGAGCCTGGCTCGACCCACCACTGCCTTTCTGAATCTCCAACCCACAGCAGCTGGGAGAATAAACCGTGGTTTAGGACCACACACTTGCTCATGAAGTCTTCCTCCATGCCAGGAGTCTGGGTCCCCCGCAGACCCACCCCCCAGCCCCCGAAATGGTTGGTCTGACCTGCCCACCCACAGGCCAGCACCCCGCGGCGAGTGCTCTCATAAAGCCGGTGGAAATCTGCCTGTGAGTGAAATGTTTCAGGAGGGAAATTGGGCGGCAGGGGGGCGGGAGTAACACCTCGTCCCCGGGCCCTTAAGATCTAAGATAAAGGCAGTGACACTTCCGACAGAGACACAGGTTTTTGGAGCTGGTGAGAGGCCTGCCCGACCCCCATGCAGTGGCTGGCCCTCCTCACCTCCCCGCCCTTCCTCCGAGGCTCAATTAAGACCCCGGCATTATCTCCTCCTCCCTTCTTTTATGTTCCCTGCCAGCCCCCCTTTCTCTTGTCAGATAATCACGGGAAGCCAGCAAACGGTTGACACAGTTACCAAGACGACAGAAGTTAGGGCCAGCGAGGAGGTCTGAAAGCTAATCCTAAGTGAATTACAGGACAAGAATGACGAGACGTGGGGAGGGTCGGGCCAGTTCAAAGGCCCCAGAGTCTGAGACAAGGTGCCATCGGCCTCAGGGCGCTGGCGGTGGGCTTGTCACTTGCCAAGGGTGACACTGAAGTCCTCTGGGGGTAGGGAGGTCGAAGAAGAAATCTTTTCCAATGAGATTCTCCACGGAAGCCAGGCTGGCCAATGGCATCTTCCGTCCACTGACTCCGGGGCCGAGGTTCACACAATTCGGCTTTGCTTACATGGGAGGCAGTGGAGGGAAGACCGGGACGACCCCAGCAGGCGATTCCATTTCTCCTTTACTTATTCAGAACTTGCCGCCTGGTGACCACGGCGCTGTGCATGGCCCAGGCTGGCTGACAGCCATTTCGGGAGCCTGAGCTCCTCTGAGGCCCTCCCTGCCCAGCCCACTGCTTCCACGTGGAGTGACTTGGCCAGGTCTCCCGGGTAGGGCCCTCCTCTTCCAGGCTACTCCCAAATCTAAGACATGGACGGTGTGACACCCATAGCCAGGAGCTGTCACCCCAAACGGTAATTGCATCTCAGGGTCCCACAGCGCTTGGTCCCTCCAGCCCTCCCGTTAACTCATCACACGCTCTCAGCAACCCCAGGAGGCAGGCTCCGCTCCTGGTCCCATTTAGCAGATGAGGAAACACAGATCCAGAGAGGGTAAGGAACCTGCGCAGAGTCACACAGCCAGTAAGGAGCAGAGGCAGGATGGAACGCAGCGCCTAGGCAGAACGGTGGCCTCAGAAAAGCCTGCTGCCCTGGAGCCCGCAGGGCCTGCCGGAAGACCCAGCAAGGACACCTGGGAACCCTCACCGTCAGGACCCAGCTCCTTCTGGAGCATGGCTGAGACCCAGGGTCCCTCCTGCTGCTTCTCACACCTTCTCTCCGGCCTTAGGCCAGGTTCAAGCACCACTCACCCCACAGCCCACTCCCGAACCTCCTGCTGATGGCCAGGGTCAGGTAAAGGGGTCAGGCCCGTTCTCTCACTCCAGCCGCCACTGGAGTCCCTGGGAGGGCTCAAGAACACGCAGACTCCATAGGAAACAGACTCGGTACCCCCCAGGCCCCCCTCTTCTCTGCAGAGTCTCCCTGGAAGGACCCTTCACCATGGGCCCCTCGCCGGCGTGGGCACTGCATGAGGACACAGCTCTTAGGGCTTCTTGGCGGTGTATTCCTGTGCCCAGCTCATGCTGTACGTGCGTTGAACAAGCCCGGGAGCTGCCTGCATTTTTTTTTTTTTTTTTTTTGGGATGGAATTGTGCTCTGTCGCCCTGGCTGGAGTGCAGTGGCACCATCTGGGCTCACTGCAACCTCTGCCTCTCGGGTTCAAGTGATTCTCCTGCCTCAGCCTCCAGAGTAGCTGGGGCTACAGGCGCGCACCACCACACCTGGCTAATTTTTTGTGTATTTTTAGTAGGGATGGGTTTCACCATGTTGGTCAGGCTGGTCTCAAGCTCCTGACCTCATGATCTGCCCGCCTTGGCCTCCCAAAGTGCTGGGATTACAGGTGTGAGCCACCCGTGCCTGGCCGCGGCGGTTACTTTTAAGAACCCAGGTTCTCACTGACAACAGAATCGAGTTCACGTGTCACTGGCTTGATGACATTCAAGACCCTCCAAGACGTGGCTCCTACCCACTCCCCGGCTTCATTCGCACATCACCAGCCCCCGCCGCACTTTCCCCGCCCTAACCTCTGGGCTCTGCTCCCCACCGGAAGCTGTGCAGGGCCCCATGTGCCGCACCCCCGGCTCTCTGCGGACAAGGACGGGAACAAGTGCATCTCTCTGGCCTGCAGGGCCTGGCGCATGTGGACTCGCAGTTCCCAGGCTGGCCGGGGAGGAGCGGGAAACAGGCACAGCCGCCCCTTCCGCGCAGCCTCCTGCGGCCTGCACACTGTCTCCTGCTGTTCCTCGGCTTCTGGAACCAGCCCTGCTGTGAACACCCTCCGAGAGTGTCCCCGTGGTGTCTCCGAGGGAAGCGCAGGCTTCAGAGCCCCACCCCTAGAGGGTGCTGCTGAGCACAGGGACAGGAGTGGTGGCCTTCCCTCCCAAGTGCCCACTGGTGAGGAATGTGGGTTTCCCCAGAGTAGGAAGGACAGCTCAAATGTCACCTCCGCTCTGTGGCCTTCTTGGACACCGCCTTCACCCCCGTCTCAAACCAAACTGTTTTCCTCTGCATGCCAAGAAAATCCTACTCACAGCTCTTAGCTCCAGTACTTGTCACCCCGGTTACTCAGTCCACACGCCCACACCACCACAACTCGGGCCGGGAAGGTCCCATGCCCAGCTCTCGGCACACCCAACGTGAGCTCAGTGTGCTAAGTCTTGGAAGACCAGATTCCCTGTTTCTGCTCATCCCTCCTCACTGTGCTAGCCTCTTCCTCCCAGCCTCACCCACCTCAGAGCTCCACACTTCCAAAGCCTGCCTTTAGTGCCCCTCCTCCAGAAAGCTTTCCTGGATTCCCTCTGCCGCAGTGCTTCTAATAGTTTCCAGAGCATTCCCTCTGCTCAGCTCTGTTTGCTCCCAAAGTGACTTACAGATAAGACACAGACCTCCTTTGCTGCTCCTGCCCAGTGAATGGATGCAGCGCAGTAAATGGCACCCACTGGCACAGGCCCTGCCCAGCTCAGGGGGAGGCCAGATGCTCAGGAATGGGAGGCTTGGCCTGTGTCCTCAGAGGACAGGACTGGGTCACAGGCAGGTGTTCCGTGCAAAAACCGACATCCCACCTTGCCACAGTGGTACAGCCGGGTCCAACCAAGGGCAGGACCTGCATGTGCTCAGCTTGAGGTGACCACAAGACCCCCAAGTCCAGAGACAGGAGGGACAGGCCGTCTGACCTGAGGTCCCTCCCAAGTCCAATGTTCCATGACTTCCTGACCCCCTGGGCCATTAAGCAAGCAGCCAAATGCCCACTGGGCGGCGGTCCAGGCCTGGTCAGAGGGCGCTTCCTGTTTCACCGTGGGAGGGAGAGGGTGACAGAGCTGCCCGGAGCCTTCAAGACCTGGGCTTCCGGCAGGCCTGGGATCCAGGGCTGGGAGTGACGGCCCTCTGCGGATGAGACCTGGAGCTGGCTGTCCCCAACCCCACCAGTGCCCTGCCCCCGCAATTCCCCAGCCCCAGCACCCGCTCCAGGCTTCCAGGATGGCTGCAAGTGGGGCTGAGGGGCAGCAAGCAGCCCCAACCCCAGCTGCCGAGGCCTGGCATGGGTGGGAAAAAGCCGGAAAAGAACATTTTCCCCTAAAGACTTGTAAGAAAATTCTCACTGATTTTTTTTCCTTTTACCTCAAGCTTTCACAGCACTAAATATGCCACACTTAGTCATTTTACGAGCAAACCAAACTATACATCACACGGTTTTATGTTCCTAAATTAACAAAAGGACTTTAAATCTATATGGAGCTCTTTAAAAAACAGAGGAGGATACCACATAGATTTTTATTCCCTCACCCCCAAATTCCCTCTTCCCTTCTAACACACGGCCCCTGCAGCTACACCACTGGAGGGGACAATCCCAGACCCCACCATCCTTCCTGAAAGGCATTTTAGGGGCCACAACAGTCTGATGATTTTCCCACAAAGAGTACGATGGGATGCACCCCAGTTGATGAAGAGGCTGCCTCTACCACCCAGTATCCCCGAAAGTCTAAGGAAGAGAATGTGAAGTCAACAGGCCCCTTGGAATCTCCTGACCTCTATGTCCTCATCTACACAATGCCAGGGAGACCAGATGACTCGATCCCACGGGACGCTGGTGAGTGGAAGCCCCGTGGGGCTGCTCCCCTCACACGTGTCCACGTCCAGGGGGAGGACAGACAAGTGACACGGAGCACCAGGTTCAAGGCAGGAGGCCAAGTCCAGACACAGCCTCCTCTCACCAGCTCTGCCCAGGAGCTGTGTGGCACGGCCCACCTGCGGCTCCTACCCTGAGCTTCCCCTGCGTAGGACACTCATTCCTGAGCCGGAATCCAGGTAACATAATGACCATTTGCTCCCAGGGTACAAAGAAACGTCTTCTGTCTCCAGAGCCAAGGAGATAAGAAGCAAGAGAGTTTCCAGCAGGACTGTATCAGTTTCCCACCCACGGCGCAACAACAACACATTTAAGCAAGAAAAAAAAAAAACCTTAATGAGAACCAAATTGGGCAGGGGGGTGGGAACCAGACCAGGCCCCTCAGAGAAGGGCTGAGCTGCAGCTGGGACAAAAGGGCCCCCGGCTTTCCCAGGCGACAGATGGAACCGTGGCGGCCTCCCCATTTCTCAGGGGTATCGGAAGATTAATTAGTGACTGCCTGGAAAGTGTGCTAGATGGAAGCCGGAATGCCTGTCCCCGCTGAGTTTCTGAGCTGTAAATAAGCAGCTTTCTCAATCACAGCTAAAATAGCCATGTTTTCCTTTTATCTGAGTCAGGTCCCATTAGACGTAACCTGCCCCTGGAGCAGGTCTTGGGAGGTTCCTGCCACAGCTATGGTTTCCTAAGTCCCGTGACAAGCCTGAGGCCATGCAAGACCTCCATCCCTGTGGGCGCCCCCTCCCCGCCTCGCCTCCCAGCACCCTGGGAGTTGGGTTCCAGCTTGATCTCACCTCCAGACACCACCCCCAACCCAGGGGGGCCTGCGCAGAGACCAGCACCCTGGAGGGCCCGGGGCAGCCTTCCCGGCAGTGGACAGTGATCCTCAGAGAAGGCCAGGGTCACCCAGAGTTCAGTGTGGGGCTGCGGTGGGGTCGGCTGATGGCTGAGGAGTCCTCCCTCCAGAAACGACAGGAACCAGATAAGAGGCTGGAAGGGCGCCACTGCCAATACCAGAGGCCAGCTCCCCTCAACACGGTCAACAAATATTTACGAAACAGCAACTCTGGAGCCAGACCGCGCGGGGTCAGCGCCTGGCTGCACCACTTATTGCACATGTGACCTCAACCGCTGCGTACCTCAGTTTCTCCAGCTGTCAAGTGGGACGAGGAGGCTGATCTCCCAGACTTCTTTTGAGGAAGCACCTTGTCTGGTGTGGAATGGGAACGGCACAAGAGGCAGCCACTGCCTCTTCCTCTTCATTAATATTTTTTTTTTTTTTTTTTGAGAGAATCTTGCTCTGTAGTCTGGAGTGCAGTGACACAATCTTAGCTCACTACAACCTCCCTCTCCCGGGTCCCAGTTCAAGCAATTCTCCTGCCTCGGCCTCCTGAGTAGCTGGGATTGCAAGTACGCACCATCCAGCTAATTTTTGTATTTTTAGTAGAGACAGGAATTCACCATGTTGGTCAGGCTGGTCTTGAACTCCTGACCTGGTGATCCGCCCACTCCAGCCTCCCAAAGTGCTGGGATTACAGGCATGAGCCACCACGCCTGGCCTTTTTGTTTGTTTTGCTTTGGTTTTTGAGACAGAGTCTCACTGTCGCCCAGGCTGCAGTGCAGTGGTACAATCACGGCTACCGCAACCTCGACCTCCCGGGCCGCGGACATCCCCTCACCTCAGCCTCCTGAGGGGCTGGGTCTACAGGCACACCACCAAAATTGGCTTTTTTTTTTTTTTTTTTTACTTTTTATAGAGAGGGGTTCTTATCATGTTGCCCAGGCTGGTCTCAAGTGATCCACTCACCTCAGCCTGTCAAAGAGCTGGGATTATAGGTGTGAGACACCTTGCCCAGTCCTTATTATTATTATTTTTTATTTTTAGGATTGTTATTATCGGCCTGGTACTGAGTAGTAAAAAGGAGACACCTACCCCTGCCAGCATGGGGCTAGATGCCTGGTGGAGTTCAGGAAAGGGTGAATCTAGGCGCAAGTACATACAGCGGAAGGTTTGAGAAGGGACCCCTGCTTGAGTTTCCCAGTCGCCCCAATTGCAGGAAGGTGGAGGCCACACCTTGCGCCTTCCCACCCGCCAGCCCCATCTCCTTTCACACACGCCCCTGCACCTTGCTCTCCCTGCAGCCAGCGTCCCCACACGGCTACCATTTTCCCCTGGCCAGTGAAGCACCACCAAGAGGCAGACACTACAACCACGGTGGCAAGAAGCCCAGGCCAAAGACAAGAGTTCAGGTCCCATTAAGAAGGTCTGACCTGGCTGGGCACGGTGGCGCACGCCTGCAATCCTCTAGGAGGCTGAGGCAGGCGGATCACGAGGTCAAGAGATCGAGGCCATCCTGGCCAATATGATGAAACCCCATCTACACTAAAAATACAAAAAATTATCTGGGCATGGTGGCGCATGCCTGTAATCCCAGCTACTCAGGAGGCTGAGGCAGGAGAATCACTTGAACCTGGGAGGCAGAGGATGCAGTGAGCCGAGATCATACCACTGCACTCCAGCCTGGCAACAGAGCGAGACTCCATCTCAAAAAAAAACTCTGTGACTTGCTGCAAATAATTCCACCTCCGTAACAATAATAACGACCGTGACAAAATCGTAATGATGACTATTACACTTATCACTCGAATCTCAAGCGCTAACTTCATCCTGGGCACCATCTTCAGGGGACCTGCTCATTCCATTTCTTGCAACAGAGGGTGGGCACCTTTTCTCCTGTTCAGGACTGGATAGTAACTAAAGATTTTAGGCGTGGCCAGCCCAGACGGTCTCTGCCCAAGATTCAACTTGGCCATTATAATGTGAAAGCTGCCAGAGGAACAGGCGTGGCTGTGTGCCAATGAAACTTGACTTACAACAGGCCTGGCCATGGATTGCTGACCCTTGCCTTCCACTGATCCCAAAGGAGATACAATTATGGATCCCATCTTACAATGGGAAAACAGACTCAACTCAGAGCATCAGTCACTTGCCCAAGGACACAGCTCACAAGTGGCAGAGCCTGACTTCAAACCTAATGCCCAGCCTCAGTCCTCTTGCCTGTCAAACAGGAGGAGCAGGTACCTGATGCCAGCCCGACTGGGAACTGCCCCCAGGGCAATGGCTGGACAGGCGGGTTCTGGGCCCTTGCTCCCTGCAGTGTCTGGGATCCGGCATCAGGTACGGAAACCAAGTCCAAGAGGCTGCAGAGCACCCAGGAGTCAGGCTCAGTGGGGCGGGGTCTGCCTGTCATCCAGAACCTCAGGCCCGAAGCAAGCCAGGCTGGCTGCTGCACCTGAGCTTCCTCATTCCCAGATCAGCGTGGCAGATGAAGCCAGCTTCATGTCCCAGCTCCGCTGCTTCCAAGCTGGGCAAACTGCTTAGCCCCTAGGCCTCACTTTGCTCATCTGTTAAATGGGCGGATGGCAGCACCTATCTGAGAGAGAGAAAATGAGATCTACAGAGAGCCCACAAAGCATTTGTAACAGGGCCTGATAGCACTCAAGAGGACCAGGCCATGGCTGGGCAGGTAAAGCCTGTAACCCCAGCACTTTGCGAGCCCAAGATGGATGGATCACCCGAGGTCGGGAGTTCGAGACCAGCCTGGCCAACATGGCGAAAACACATCTCTACTAAAAATACGAAAATTAGCCTGGCATGGTGGCAGGTGTAATTCCAGCTACTCCGGAGGCTGAGGCAGGAGAATCTCTTGAACCAGGGAGGCAGAGGCCGTAGTGAGCAGAGATCACACCGCTGCACTGCAGCCTGAGTGACACAGAGACTCCATCTCAAAAAAAAAAAAAAAAAAAAGACAAGGCCGCTGCTGTTACCATCACTCTCAACACATTAACCCCAGGCCTGGGAAGCCTGGGCACCTGAGTGTGGTTCTTCCCCGTAAGCCCTCACCCTGAATATTACACTAAGACAATAAAGCATAAAAGCCCAGTGGGGACTTTAAATACAACCAAAACACTACGATGCAGGAAAAGCCTGCACCCACAGGCTGAGACTGGCTCCAACCTCCCCTCCCCTCATCTCCCTGGGGGTCGTGACAAACGTCACCCCTCCTGCCTGCCCACTGGGGGCTTTACACCAGCCTGGGCAGACCTTCCTTAATAGCTTTGAATTTCCTAGCCTGACACTTCCTCCTCTTCTGAGACTCTGTGTAAATAGAAAATCGGTCACCTGATGAATAAATATGCACCAGCAGCCTCCAGTGGCAGGTGAAGAGGGGTGTAGATTACAAACACCTGTGCTTTGAAGACGCCCTGTACTTAAGAAGATTCATTCTTGGCACAAGCTTGTCCTGAGCGCCTCCAAGGCAGGCACAGCTGCGGGGGAGGCACAAGCTCTCTGCTTTTCCCCAGCCACAGCCCAGGAGGAGGCAGACAAGAAAAACCCAGATACAGCAAGAGGATCTGTTACATTTTGGGTTAAAGGGCTCTGGGGAATGTCACCGCCTCACACCCAGCCCTCATTTACCTGGAATCTTCCGATGGGGGAGATGGCTCTGAGCTCCCATAAGGCTCATTCCACCCTCGCCTTACAACCTTTATTTTACTAAGTTGGGGATTCCCGGTTCTAATTTGGATTGGATCCGCTAAGGGAAGTGCGGAGGGAGGGAAAAGCCAAGCTTGCTGTTTGTTGATTTGCATTTCCGGCAGTGGATGGGGGGAGGAAAGAGATCAAGAATGAAATGGAAACGCTGGGAAATATTCAGTATTCTTCCTATAAAAACAGCATAGACACCAAGCAAAAAAACATGGCCCTGGTCAGTTACTGGGAACTAAAACAGACACCAGGAAACTCAAAAAGAATAAAGTACAGAGTTCCTAAAGGAGGAGTTTTTCCTGCCTCCCCCCCACTTTTTTTTTTTTTTTTTTTTTTTTTTTTTTTAAGTCATTTGGACTCTGGTGACCCTCCACCCTGCTCTATTAACTCAGTGAAAACGTTTGCCCTGGTTAGGGCAGCAAAGGCCAGATCCAAGGGAAGTGGGTCCTATCCAGGCCCCTTCCTCCCCCCACACACTCCTTTTGGGGACTCCAGGGCGAGGTGGAAGCCTCAGCAAAAGTGACAGGATCTTCTGAACAGAGAAAGAAAAAAAAAAAAAAAAAAAACCTGAAACCGAACACCCGGCCACGTGCACCTCTCCCCAGCAAAACAATTCAGAAATAAAGCTCCAGGGCAGCGGCTTCTGCAGAATTTTATAAGCCTCACCACTGGAAAATTAGGAACTTCCCCTCTCCTCTCTACACCCCCACATCACCTCCTCCCCCTACACCCCACCTTCATTAGGTACGGTGTGTCAAAGCTGAAGGGAGATCACCTCAAAGGGAGGGAGGAAAAATAAAATCAGCTCATTCCTAGAACCTGTGGCCACAATCAGCACAACCTTCCTGACCTGCGGTCACATGGCCATACCTGGGGCAGGCCGGTGCGTTTCTCCCCGACGCCGGGGGGAACAGGGGTGGTGGTGCCGGGGCGCCGTGGGGGAGGGCCCTGGGGTCCACCACCGAGGGCTCCCTCGCCAGAATTTCTGGATCACCAGCTTCCATTTAGTCTACACTCAATTTTAAGGTTTAGAAGTCCAAATAAGGTGAATTCAGGAGGGGCTCCCCAAACCTCCAGCTGTCAGCCCCCCCCTCCCCTCCAGGCTGAAAGCGCGACTAGCCCCGAAACAGAAAGTTACAGGGCGAGCGGCTGTCACGGCGCAGGAAGGTTAAGGAAACAGGAAGCCACGCCAAATACCCCCCTGAGCTTCCCCGGCCCCCTCCTCCGACCTCGGCGGAACAAAACCTTCCAGGGAATCCCAGGCAGGAAGGGGGGCGACGGGATGGGGGGGCCGGCGAGGGACGCTCGCGCTGAGACCGCGCAAGGGGGTTGGCTGGAGCGAGAGGGAAATCAGCCCCAGGACTGGGGTGGGGGGCATGCTACCCGATCGGGGCGGCCTGCAGCAAAGTAACTTCACACTCGGCGCGTAATTCACCTTGGAAGGCTTAAGTGCCTCGGCCGCTCGCCGCGCCGCCGCGGCGGAGCCGGCTCCGGGCAGACAAAAGGAGCGAGACGCGCAACCCCCGGCGGCTGCGCGGTGGGGGCGGCGGGCCGGGTGGGCGCTCCCCGCCGCACGTAGCCGCGCACACCGCGGGCTTGACCCAGGCGGGAGGATCCGAGGCCACGCGCGCGCCCGCCCGCGGGGGGCACCGCGGACCCACTGCCCCGACCCTGGCTGGGGGGTCTGGGAGGGGGATCGGATGAGGGAGGGTCCCGGGCGCGCCGGCGCCGCGCGGGACCCGGGGAGGCGCACGGCTTGCTTACCTGGTAAGTAATACAGCGGCGGCTTCAATCCAAACATGGTTCAAATTAGAATTCCATAGTGGCCAGAGAGGGATAAAGAAGGAAAATAATATTAAAACCCAGCAATGAACAAAAAGCACCGTTCAAGCCACGGCGCTCAAAAATGTCCAAAACAATAAAATAAAGGCAGAAGAGCGATCCCGAGAGCGACGAAAAAAAAAAATCAGTCTTTTTCCCCCCCCAACACAAGATGATCAAAAGGCTCTCTCTCCGGCCAGCGCCCGGGCAATTTCGGCCACCTTGGCCCTGGCAGATCCACAATGAGGTAATTGACGACCAAGGACGGGCCGGAGCCTCCACGGCTGCCCGGGTGTCTTCGCCGCGTGTGTATTTTCTGCCTTTTGGACTTGAGATGCAAATTAAAAAAAGGAGGGGGGAGCACGGCGGAGGGAAGCAGGCGGGGAAGAGAAGCGAGAGAAAAATAAAGGGGGGAGGTGAGGGTGATGAAATTGGGGGGTTAAGATCTTCAGGGATTACTCATTTGAAAGGAAAAGGGGGGGAAGAGAAAAAAAAACCAGCCCCCAAGACGTGCGAGTAGCAATCTCTCCTCCATTCAGCCATTTGAATGTCAAGGGCGAGGGTCAAGAGACCTGTTTCCAACAGGGTTTCACGTTCAGAACCAGAAGGAAAAAGGAAGGGGGGGCGGCGGGAGGGGGTATCTCTTGTTGCCAAGGAGAAATCGGCTTTGTTTTGTTTCCCCTTAGCTACTGGATGAGGAGGGGCGGGGTGGCGGGGAGAGGAGGAGGGGGCGAGCGGGAGAGGGGAGAGGAGAAAATTAATACCCAAACAGCCAAGAAGTACCGAGGGGGAGATTTCTTCTCGTAAATAAAAGCAGCAACGATTGCAAACAAGTCTCCGGCAGGAGAAAGCAGGCCGGGGCGCCGGCTCCCCTCCCCCTCTCGCCACCAACACCCCTCCCCCCTTTTTTGGTTATCTCCCTGGCCTGGCGTCCCACCACTGACTCAGACAGAGGGGGTGGAAGGAGGAGGAGAAAGAACTCGCGGGGGCTCTGGCGCCTGGGCAGAAGGAGGCAGGAGGAGAACGGGGAGGCAGGCAGAGCGCACGGCGGTGGAGAGCCCCTCGATCAATTTTCATGCAAGAATCATTATCGGTAAATTGGAAAGCTGGCTGCCTGACAGCAGATTTGTCTCCCCTAATGAAAGCGAAAGGGTAGGGGCGCAGCGGCGGGCGGCTGAAGGCGGCGGCGGCTCCTTCCGTCTCTACGCGGCATCTTCCAACAGCTCCATGCTTCGCAGGGCGATAATAATAGTTTCACTTGCGAGCTTCCCCCCGCGCGGCCGCCGAGCTGGGCGGCACATCCATGCGGACGCGAGCGGGGCGCAGGAAGCCGGGCACCCCTCTCCAAACCTGGGGAGGGTGCCGCTGCTGGAGGCGGGGTGCTCCCCTTCGCTCCCAAGCGGGGGCCGTTTGCAAACAGTGGGCGGCTGCGGGCGCCGCTGGTCCCCCCTCCGGCTGCCCAACTCCGCGCTCTGGCCGCCCGCCCGCCCGTCCTCCCTCCCTCCCCACCCACGACTGACAGCTGCGGGAGCCAGGAGTTCGCTCTCCGCCAGGACCCGGGAGGAGAATCCCCACACCGTGACCCGGGACCGCCTTGTGTGGAACCCACGCGGGGCTGCGGCAACGCACACGCCGGCCGGCCCCGGTGAGCTCCTCGGGCGAGCGGTTTGTTTCCCTCCTTTCTTTCCCTCTCACCCCTCACCCCACCCCCTAAAAATCCCTGTTGCAAGTGTAATCAAATGCTTGATAGCATCTCCCACACTCTCCGTGCTCTGGTGCATTATCAGATCCGGGAAGGCATGCTTCCAGGCAAATAGACCTAATAAACGCTATTACTGGGATTCTGCAAGCCCCGGCTGCACCATAGTAACGAGAGCCCCGGCTAATTTGGTTTAAGAAAACGATCGACTGCACAGAGTGTGTGTGTGAGTGTGGAGCCTGTATCTCTCCTCCCCACGCCGCCTCCCTTTCACACCAGCTCAAGAAGGCCCCATGTGATAATTCCCCAAATCGAAGGGGAAAAAACCCTGCCGCCAAACCACATCCTGTGCGCTCATTGTCCAGCCCAGCGATTTTAAAGAGACAGGATCCATTTACCCACGTCCCCCGACCCCCTCCTTGAACGCACGCTGCAAAGCTGCCTCTTGATGTGACAATTTATTTTCAAGCCCTTTTACCTCCTGAAGGGCCCCTCGGTGGCACAACCAGCGGGAATCACGACTTGGTGACACTAAGGGGTCACCTTTTGACCCCAGATAACAATCATGGTTTGAGGAACAGACCTGAGCCCGCAGGTACGCACGGCGGGGCACCGCGGTCACGCCGGGCTTGGGTTCCTGCCAACGCTCTCCAACCACTGCGTAAATCAGGGGTCCCCAGCGGCAGCCCCGGGGTCCCTGCTAAACGCTGCGGTTTCAAATGACAGCTGAACTCCCGGAATACGATACCCTAGAGAAAAGCTCCGGTGGGCACATTGGAGGAGGTTGGGGGCGGGAGCGGCGTGCCTTTTGACCTCTCCAAGCCACTCGCCAAACCCTCGCCTACCCCGCCAGAAAAAATCTTAAATGAGCTGGGCGGAGCGCTCGCCGCCACGGGAGGGGTGGCGCTCTTCCCCGCTGCCGCCTGCGGCTCGGTGGCTGCGGCGTGCGGGCGGCCGCCTTCCTCCGGGGCCCGGCCGCCGGGGGTGCGAGGAGCGTCTCGGAGTCCCCCAGCTCGCTGCTGTCCCCGCCTGGCGCCCCCTCCCCGCGGGCGGCCGAGCGCACGCGTGCGCAGGGGAGGGCGCCAGAGCTGCTGACCTGGAGGAAACCGGCCGCCCGGGGCCGCCCGCGCCCGCCGCCAGCCTCAGGCTGCTCCGCCCCGCGCTGACCCTGGAGGTCGCGCCAGGCCCTCGGCGCCGGCGGCCCTTTGTTTCCGGAGCTGCGTGGTGTTGCGCTCTCTGCACCTCCCCTTGCACCCGCCGGCGGCGGCGGCCTGGCAAGCGGGGCGGCGGGGTCGGGGTCCAGCACCTGCCCTCCCTGTCCCCACCCTGCGCGCCCCGCCGGGCCTCCCCTCCAGCCCCCGCTTCCCCCTCCCACCCATTTATCACCCATTTGTCACCCGCGCGCTGTTCAATCTGTGCCCCTGGGGGGCCGGGGTGGGGGGGTGGCGACGGCCAGGACCTGGGTTAGACCGCCCGGGTGGGCTACCGCCCACCCGCTAACGCCTCAAATTGGAAAAGTCTCCCATCTTACTTAGGGGGGAAAAAAACTATTTTTAAAAGACCCTAAACTATCAGTTTCTGTTGTCAGTCTTTTATTGGTTTTTAATTCTCCGGGATTACACGAACAACAGTAGTAATTAATACTAAACCTTCTTCTACTGTATATGCTAATGGCAGGAGCCATAAAAATTAATTTGCAAACATGTCATTACACAATAGCTGTACAGGCAATAAACCTGTAATTATGGGCCAATCACAGGCATGGTACAGAGGGAGGGGTGCTCCCCCAATCTGCTGGGTGCCCCCCTTCCCCTGCTCCAGCGGGGAACACGATGCCAGAAAGAAGCTTGCCTCCTGGGAGCCACCTGTGGGGAAAGGGAAAGGGGTCTCTAGTCTGGAGCTCCCATCAGCCTGGCTTCCAGGCAAGACCACTTGGAGCCAGCCATCAAAGTCCACCTGAGACGGAAACTGAGGGAGGAGAGGCAAGGCTGGGGCTTGGAGAGCTCCCCAGGCCTGGCTGGTGGTGGGTAGGCCAGACCAGGAAGGAGAGGACCAGAGAGGAGCCGCATGCTGGTGGGCCAGCTCCCAGCTGATTTTTGCTTCCTTCTCCAAGACAAGCATCTCCCCCAATAAGTATTTGAATGCCTGCATCGAATTACCTAATTGCTTTTAGCCACACCCTTGGGAAAGAGAGCTGTAAGATTCTAGTGATGGCTCAGCCTCCTCTGGCCCTGGGTCTGGACGTCTCAAAGTAGGTTAGTGACATTTCCTGGTGACAGGGACCTTTGTAAGGGAGGAAAATATGCGATTCACCATGGGAGGGTGGTTACACCGCAGCGGCCCACCCAATGCCAAGCAGCTGAGGAACAGCAAGGAACCCCACCATGCCCCGCCGCGGCCTCCCTGGCAGCTTTCCATTGAATGTCCGGTTGTTTGCCATGATGGGGCTGAACGCGGTAGTGGGAAGGATTTTCCCCTTTCCACTGACCCTTGTGGCTTGGCTGTGGTTTTTGGAAGCCATCACTACAGCCATTCATTCCCAGGGGAGCCGCACTCCCACCTCTGAGGGTGCCTATGGCCTGGCTAGGGGTCACGGGCCACTAGTCTAGGCCACACCAGGATGGAGTGCCAGGTGCCCAGGTGAGAAGGGCAGTGCCCTTTGTAAGATTTCATCCCAGAGGGATTCTGTCCAAGCAAAGGATGTCTCTATTTCTCTCCACCCACACTTCTCTGGAAAACCCCAGTGGTGGCAATGCCGTCTCTCCCTGTCCCTGAGCTCACCGCTAGAGAGGAGTCAGACATTTATGGAAAAGAGGTAGGAAACTGGGCAGTCTGGATCACCTAGACCTGAGCCTCCAGGTACCCCTTGTTAAACGCTGGGGACACCACGGAGCAAACTCACCCTGCACCTACCTGAGAAACCCTGCCCACGCTGCAAACCCACCCAGGGTCAGAGGGAAGAATGGGGCCCAGCAGCTCAGGGCCACATTCTGAATACGGCAGAAAAAAAGGAGAAAATTCAGTGGCTCACGAGTAGGAGGCTGAGGCGGAAGGCAGATCACGAGGTGAGGAGTTCAAGACCAGCCTGGCCAACATGGTGAAACCCCATCTCTACTAAAAATACAAAAAAAAAAAAAAAAAATTAGCTGGGCATGGTGGCACTCACCTGTAATCCCAGCTACTCAGGAGGCTAAGGCAGGAGAATTTCTTGAACAGGGACCTGGGAGGCAGAGGTTGCAGTAAGCCAGGATTGCACCACTGAGCTACAGAGCTAGACTCCGTCTCAAAAAAAGAAAATTGCTTCATCTCTTCATCTCTATTGGGAGAGAAAAACCTCTCAGGAGGTCGTATGTAGCCCACCAAATCCCTACCCTGAAGATGCAGGGACCCCCAATCATCTGTACCTTCACAATAGAGGGTCTCCAGACTCCTCTAGCGGGGCCGCCTTCACCACAGCACAGAGACAGCCTAGCTGGCCAAGAGAGTCAGCTGAGAGCAATATAAATAGCCTCCCAGCACGTGCTAGGAAAATTGAGGCTGCAGGCTGGGGCCTGGAGTGCACGAGGCGGGTGCCTCGGCTGGGAACTGTGCCCACGGGCATCTGGTGGTCCCGCAAGGCCAGGCTGCAACCAACCCCTGTGGAGAGGAGCGCTGCTCCCCAGATTCCAGGAAAGGGAGGGGCAGGAAGCTGCATGGCTAACCTGGAATGCCCTGTCTGTCCTCTGGTGGGCAGCCTCTGTTTCCCTCTTAGGGTAATAATACCAGCTGATGCTTCCCACGTGCTCAGTCTGTGCCAGCTGCTGTTCTAAGCACTTTTCCTGGATAGCGCATTGGATCCTCCTGACAATCTTGTTCAAGGTCACCATGAGTTCCATTTTTCAGATGAAGCACAGAGAGGTCAAGCAACCTGCCCAAGGACACACAGCCAGTGGGTGGCAGAGCTGGGGTGGGAACCCAGGCTGGCTCAGAGTGCATATTCATTACCATCAGGAAAGGTTTGCAGTCAGACTTCAAATTCCCTCTGGGCCCCACCCTCTGCATGCCCTTGGGTGGTGATGTCAACATTCTGACCTCAGTTTCCTTACCTGGAAAATGAGGTGAATCACCCCTGCACTTGAGGCAGATGTGTGTAATGACTGTGGCGACAGGCGCACAGAGACTCCGAGAACAGAGCAGCCATCAGTCCGGCGACTCCGATAACAGGGGTGTAAGGACACTAACAGCAGCTCCCACGGATGGGGCCTCAGGCACCGGGGCTCCACGCTGCCAGGTTTCCTGCAATGTCATCTTACTTGGGACCTGCCCCAGCATCCCCTCCCCTTGAGACAGACACCGCAATGGCCATTACCCAGTTTTGTGCATAAGGATGCTGAGGCCGAGAAAAATGAAGGAACTCACCAAGGGCATACAGGGAGGGGACACACCCTGTTTCTCTTTCTGTCTGGCTCTAGTTCTGAAGTCACTGGACTGTCTATGAACATTCCAAGTCTCAGGCCAGTCTGAAGTTGAAAGAGAAAAGGGAACCTCTGTCTGGTCGCACCTCACAGTGACTTCTGCATATCCAGCTTCTGTTTTTACCTTTCTTGGTGGGAGCTACAGGGCACGCCCCACCCATGTGTGCTGTCTCATCTCAGAGCCGAGGCCTAGCCAGCCTACCCCGGGCAGCAGGAGAATGGTAATCTGCCAAAAGTTATGTCCACATCGCCAGGTACAGTGGCTTATACCCATAATCCCAACACTTGGGAGGCCGAGGTGGTGAAAGGACTTCTTGAACCCAGGAGTTCAAGACCAGCCTGGGCAACATGGTG